GGGTTCAGGCAATTCTCCTGCCTCAGCCTCCTGAGTAGCTGGGACTACAGGCACGCGCCACCATGCCCAGCTAATGTTTTGTAGTTGTAGTAGAGACGGGGTTTCACCATGTTGACCAGGATGGTCTCGATCTCTTGACCTCGTGATCCACCCGCCTCGGCCTCCCAAAGTGCTGGGATTACAGGCTTGAGCCACCGCGCCCGGCATTCTTTCTTTTTTGAAATGGAATCTTCCTGTGTCACCCAGGCTGGAGTGAGTGCAGTGGCATGATCTCGGCTCACTGCAACCTCCGCCTACCAGGTTCAAACAATTCTTCTGCCTCAGCTTTCCGAGTAGCTGGGATTACAGGTGCATACCACCAAGCCTGGCTGATTTTTTGTATTTTCAGTAGAGAATGGGGTTTTACCATGTTGACCAGGCTGCTCTCAAACTCCTGACCTCTTGATCTGCCCACCTTGGCCTCCCAAAGTGCTGGGATTACAGGTGTGAGCCACTGCACCCGGCTGGTTCTAAGTTTTAATTAAACTAAGTACATTACCTGCACTATCTCATTTAACCCACACAAAGTAGGAATAATGTATTATTTAACCTTATATTAGATATGAGGAACTATAGCTCAGACAAGTAATAAATGACAGTGTCAAATTCTGCCACCAAGTGTGTATGACTTCAAAGTCTATGCTATTTCCATTATATCACACAGCCTCTAAATTAGAAATACAAGCAGTGTGATACAGTGAGGCCTATATAACGGGGCCTAGAGTCAGAGATCCTTGATACAAGGTACTTGTGTGAACTTGTCTAGGTTACCAACTCTTCCTGAACTTTAGTTTCCTCTTCTGTACCTCAAAGAGAAGATTCTGACTGGAACATAATGAGGGGAGGGAAGAATAGGAGGACATGAGCTGGAGAAGGAAGCAACAGCCAGATCACGCAGAGCCTTGTAGGACAGGGAAAGAGAGTTGTGACTTAATTCTACATGTAATGGGAAGCCAAAAGGAGGTTTTTAATTAATGGAAAAACACAATGTGATCTAAGTTTTAAATAATGGAGTTGGCCAGGGACAGTGGCTCTCGCCTGTAATCCCAGCACTTTGGGAGGCCAAGGCAGGCAGATCACTTGAGATCAGGAGTTTGAGACCAACATGGCCAACATGGTGAAACCCCGTCTCCACTAAAAACACAAAAATTAGCTGGGCATGGTGGCACACACCTGTAATCCCAGTTACTCGGGAGGGTAAGCCGGGAGAATCGCTTGAACTCGGGAAGCAGGGGTTGCAGTAAGCCGAGATTTTACCACTGCACTCCAACCTGGGTGACAGAGTGGGACTCCATCTCAAATAAATAAATAAAGGAGCCAATGAGTTGATGATCATGGAAGCTGGGCAGTGGATATATGAAGGTTTCATTATATTGTCACTTTAGAATATTTAAAGAAACAGTATAAACAGGAGAGAGGGGAAGGGGTAAAAACAGAACAGGGAGACCAGTTCAGAGGCAGGTACGAGATGATCCATCAGGATTTGCTCACAGTTTGAACCAGAAGGTGGGGAAAGGAAAGGACAGGGATGATGCCTAGACTTTGGTTTAAGTAACTGCATTAGTGGCAGTGCTGTTAACTGTGATTAAGAAGGGGGGTAAGGATGAGGGAGAAACAACAGTTCTGTTATGAACATGTTAAGCTTGAAATTCCTATTGAATATCTAACTGGAAAGGTGCATTAGGCAACCAGATATAGGAATCTGGACCTGAGGTAAAAGGGCAAGTATGAAGATGACATTAAGAAGTCATTAAATTTGTTTCCAGGCCTAGATGAGGGCACCAAAGGAAAAGTATAAACAGAAGAGAAGATGGCCCAAAAATAGAGTCCTGGAGCACTCCAACATTTAAAGATTTAGAATGGGGAGACATCAACAAAAGAGATGGTTTTCTCCCCTCTGCTCCAAGGAAGAGGGGAGAAACTTGTGTTTTAAGTAGGAGGAAGCAGACACTGTCAAATAGTGCCAAGTCAAGTAACCAAGAACACATGATTAACCACTGAGGGTAGAAAATGGATGTCATTGGATTAAGAAGATGTCAGTGGGTAAAGGAAAGAATAGGAGGTGAAATGCATAGAGTGAAATGCACAGGAAACTTGTAAAAGGCATTTTCTTATGAAGGAAAGCAAAGGACACAAGGTCCAGTAGGTTGCTATTGTTGTTTTTCAAGATGGGCAATATAGAATTTTGTATGCTGATGGGGATGATTCAGAAGAGGCAGACATTAATAACAGAAGGGGTGAAAGGGACATTAATAACTTGAGGATCCAAGTGTTTAAGACAACAGAGGAGATGGATCTAGTGCGAAGGACTGGCCTTAGGAGCAGGGACAATCCTTTCACCACACAGGACTGCAAAGGAAGTATGTGCACACATGAGGAGACTGGGTGATTTGGCAGTGGGAAAGAAGGTAGGTCTGGTCTCAGTGCTTTCGTGTTCTGAAAAAATAAGATCATAAAAGGAAACAGAAGGTACTGCTGGTATGAAAAAGGAAAAGAAGATGGAGTAGAAGCTCCAATAGTAGAAGAAGCTCCATGCTGGCAGCTTCATTGTGTATTATTCTCCAGAAAGTTTCAGCTGGCCAGGTGTAGGCACAGAGAAAGGAGAAAGTTGGGTTTAATCTTTTTAGCTTTTTGCCAGGGAGATATGGCAAGAGGGAGAGGGTCACAGGAGTAAAGGGTAGACAGTAAGAGCTAGGAAAACTGACCATGGGATTCGAGCTGGGTAAAGAGAGGAGAGAGCACCTAAGAGGTGTGACACAGTGACAAAGCTGTAGTGTTAGTGGATTTTAAGTGTTAGGGGACTCAAGATTTTGTAAAAAGTGACTTTGGGGCTAATTTGTTCTACTGCAATCTGGCCTCTCCCATAATGTTAAATAAAGTAAAGCATGAGGAGGCAATGAGAGAGGGGTGTTTGCCTTAGAGTGTTAGTGGGGTATGTATTTCATCCCTCAAAGAGGACAGTTTTCCAGGAATGAGAGCAGAAAAGTGGTTTTAGAAGCAGTAGTGAGGAACAGCGATAACACATATTCCACCTCCAGCACCACTCACTGTGAAGGATAGAGAATATAGCCACTACCTAAGAGTGTTTCTAGGGAAGCAGTATCTTCAGGGAATACTCAAGAAAATTGTGTTCCAATCATAAATCTAAAATGCTATGCCACTCTTTATAAAAAGAACAACCCTCAAAATCCATCTTTAATAAATTACTTACTGAATATATGGAGCAATATCTTCTTCTGTCCACTTCCCTCTTAGAGAAAAAAGACTATTAAAACATCCCTGATTATCCTCAGGTAAATCATCTACTTTCAGCAAAAATATGATTTCTGGTCTTGAGTGTCTATCCACCAGTGCTAAACCCTACAAGAAATGAGAAGAAACAGGGCAGTTAAAGTAATGTTGTAATGTTTAAACATGCCTCATTCTTTTACCTTTAGGTTTAGCTTAGCTCAAGATACTCAAAATGTCAGCTACATGAAACTTAAACTATCCAGAGATTTACAATAGCCTTTTTCATACAAAGAGCTCCTTTAAGCAGTGACTTCTTTTCTCTTCTGCAATCTGGCATCTACCACCACCAGTTTATCAAGACAGGTCTGGTTCTAAAGGTCACCAGTAACCTGTCATTGCCAAATCCAGTGGGCCCTTTTCTTGGATTCATTGTACTAATCCTCTATTTTCTTTTTCCTTTTTCAGACAGAGTCTCACTCTGACACCCAGGCTGGAGTGTAGTGGCGCAAACTTGACTCACTACAACCTCCACCGCCTCCTGAATAGCTGTAACTACAGGCACATGTCACCACATCCAGCTAATTTATATATTTTTAGCAGAGAAGGGGTTTCACAATGTGGGTCAGGCTGGTCTCGATCTCCTGGCCTCAAGTGATCTGCCCTTCTCAGCCTCCCAAAGTGCTGGTATTACAGGTATGAGCCACTGCACTTGATCCCTAGCCCTCTATTTTCTTTGTTACTGTTGATTACTCCTTCTTCTTTAAATACCTCTCCGTCCCTGACATCACAGTCTCCTTATTTTCCCCCTAACTTGATGTTGTAGCTCCCTGAGGCTTCCATCCCAACTGCTCTACTTGCTTCACTGTCACTCTATTGAGTAACCTCATCTAAACCTGTGGCCTGAGCCACCACTTACTTGCTAATGGTGATAATATTTATATATTCAGTTCAGATGTCTCTTTTGAGCCCCAGACCTCTATATCCAAATCTATATATAAACTCGTTTATCATCCAAACCTCCTCTAGTCCCACTCTCCTAGGAAAACAGGAAACCTAGGCATCGTCTTTGATTACATTAGTCAAACCCCACACTTACGTGGTCACTAAAGCCTATATAATACATGTTAAGGCTTCGGGACTCCTCTATCCATTCCCCATTACCTATTTCTTTGGCCAGTACTCTCTTAGTTGGGAGCATATGTGTTGACAGCCTGCACAGTAATCCTTTTTCATAATCTAACCAACCTTCCATCTGTCCATCTTCTTTACTGTCATAGCATTCTTTTCAAAAGGCCAAGCTGATGAGTTCCTGATGAGGTAACTCCTCTAACTGATGTCACTCAGTGGCCTCAAAGAGCTTTCTAGATAGAGTTGAAATTCCTTAGCACAATCCACAGTGTTCTTACCTCACAAGCATCCTTCACTCTAGTCCGTGCATCCCTACAACAGTGCACCAATGTTTATACCTCCACACCTTTGACCATGCTCTTTAGATTTCCACCTCCAGCCTTCCTTCCATCTAGACAGCAACAGTTCATCTTTCCAGAGGCAGCAGCTAAAACATCTGTTCCTTCAGAAAGTCATCCCTTATTGACCAGTCTGATGGCTAAGCCCCTTTTCTTTGCTCTTATAACATCGTGTATATGCCTTTCCAATGGCATAGATCACTCTGCATTATAAGAACAGATTTTGGCATGTAATATGTGTCCCCTATTGCCAGTCCCCAAGTTGAGCACCATGATGACACCTTGTATGACATTTTCTCCTGAGCACCTAGCATGATGCCTCGACAAAAGGAACTCCATAAATACCAAGCAAATCTTTTAATTTAACTAACAAAATACTTACCGAGTACACACCACGTGCAGACAGTATGCTACATACTAGCAAGCAGCAGCAAACAAAGTGCCATCAAAGTGGAGAGTGGGGAACCACAGAATTGAACATTCTTCCAAGCTAAGGGGCGAGAGACATGAAGGAAAGTACACCGTGCTATGGAAGAGTAAAATCAGAGGCCTTTCCTTTGAGCAGAGAATGAAGGAAGGCCTCCTTGATGAAGCGACTCAAAGATAAGCAGGAGGTGACCAGATGAAATGAGACAGAATATCATTCTAGAACAAAAAGCTTTATGTGAAGGTCTCAGGTAGGTAAGAGCTTGATGATCGTGAAAACCTGAAAGACTGTTGGTATGCAGTGAGCAGGAGAGAAAGTAGCCAGAGATGAGGCTATGAAGGTGATCCTGAAGGGCCTTATAGGCCAAGACATGAATTCTGGGTATTTTTATCCTAAGGGCCATAGGCAACCATTAAACTGATTTAAGGCCCGGTTCAGTGGCTCATGCCTATAATCCCAGCACTTTGGGAGTCCAAGGTGGGCAGATTACGTGAAGTCAGGAGTTAGAGATCAGCCTGGCAAACATGATAAAACCCCATCCTTACTAAACATAACAAAAATTAGCTGGGCCTGGTGATGGGTGCCTGTAATCGCAGCCACTCAGGCGGCTGAGGCTTGAACCTGGGAGGCGGGGGATGCAGTGAGCTGAGATTAAGCCACTGCACTCCAGCCTGGGTAACAGAATGAGACTCAGTCTCCATCAATCAATCAATAAAGAGATTTAAGCAGGACATTCATTTGATCTGACTGACATTTTATTTATTTATTTATTATTATTTTATTTAT